GAAATCTCCTTGGTTTCAGCACTAAACCAAAGTACATCTTAATCAGTAGGAGATTTCATGAAACACTATTCATTGTTTAGTGATGAAACCTGATTAAGATGTGAATAGTGTTTCATGAAATATCGTACTTTGGTTTAGTGCTGAAACCTGATTAAGATGTGAATAGTGTTTCATGAACACCTCCTACTTTGGTTTAGTGCTGAAACCTGATTAAGATGTGAATAGTGTTTCATGAAATCTCCTACTTTGGTTTAGTGCTGAAACCTGATTAAGATGTGAATAGTGTTTCATGAAATCTCCTATATTGGTTTAGTGCTGAAACCCGATTAAGAATTCATCAAAGAACTTGAAGAATTTTTCTTATATTTTCCATTAGTTGTGCATATGATTTTTGCTTATTTAGGAATGTTCTTCGGATTTGGTCAAATTTATGCGCCTAGACAAAGACGTCTGATAAAATTACCTAGAATAAATATAGTTTAGATATAAAGCGTTTTTTTTTCTCATACCACAGAAGAAAAGACTGAGATCTCTGTAGTACTTGCCTCTTTCAAAATTACTTTTGACGTGCTAAGTTTTACTTACTGTAAACAATTCAGTATAAAAGATTAAAAAGATAAAAGAATAAACACGATTGAATATTTACCTGTCGTCACATGGAACCTCAATGACATTATCTGTACCTAGTCCAGACACCATTCCAGCACCTTTGATGGAATAATGACTCTAAAAAAAGAAGAAAAAAAACTGGAGACACATATGTTTTTTTCATTTATCGTGAAAGTAATATTAAACCAGTTTAGATTAAACTGAAACTAACATTAAACCAATCATCTTACAGTAATATCACTAAACCAATCATCAGGCAACATTTATACTAACAGTCACCAGACGAAATTTGTACAAACGGTTTCTAAAAGTATAACTGTGCATTAGTATATCTCTAGATGCAAGAATTAATTAAATATTCTGGGTTTACTTTGTTACATGGTTTTGCTGCAGTCATAGTGTTTATACTTCAATCGTGAATTTTTTTAAAAATATGTGGCGTCCTAAGCACGTGCCGTGATTCATTTCTGTCTCATCATGAAGCTGTTTAGTCAAGCAAACGTTCTACGAAGTAGAAGAAAAATCTTATTTTTTAATACTATTTGAATAAAAACTGGCTATCATTTCTAAGAAACTGTGAGAAATTCACAGTAATCCCTATTCTCGTTCCAAAATGAAGATTTCGTAATTATTAGCAACAACAATCAGTTGACATCTCATAAGATTACAATTTAAGTTCAATGATTTTTAAGAAAAGTACATTTACATTAAAACAAACATAAAATATCTTAAAACACATCATTATCTAAGAAGAGTGATTTTTCCTTTTGTTCCAGAGTACTTTATTCTATGCTGCCATATTAGTAATTAATATTACTTGTAACAAAAGATATAAGCTAGAGTAACCAACAAGCTGTTGATGTATTTGTCAGAAGACTGTTGCTTAAAACTGTTTAAATTAAACTTTCGAGAATTCTAGTGGATTTTATCAGATTTGTTTTTACTGTTGGAAGCATTACCTGCAGTAGATTATCTTAGTTTTTACTTCACAACTTCAATACGCTTTAACATTTACTTCAAGGTTTATTGTAATTTTAGAATCGTTGCAGCACTCTTATGATTCATAGGGGCCCCTGCATGATCAGGGGGTTAGGGCGCTTGACTAGCAACCTGGGGGTCGCGAGTTCAAATCTCCGTACCACCAAATGTGCTCGCCCTTTCAGCCGTGGGGGCGTTATAATGTGACGGTTAATCCCACTATTCGTTGATAAAAGAGTAGCCCAAGTGTTGGCGGTGGATGGTGATGACTAGCTGCCTTCACTCTAGTCTTTCACTGCTTAATTAGAGACGGCTAGCGTAGATAGCCCTCGTGTAGCTTTGCATGAAATTGAAAACAAACCACGATGCGTAGAAGTGCATTCTACTGGCACCTGGTGGCGGTTAGAAGGATTCAAAATTTAGTTTGTGTTTTATTTCTAAACCTGTAGCTACATTAGTGTGATTAAAAGCTCTCGGTTGAAAAAGTCAATATTTGGTCTGATTTTCTTTGTTTTGTTTTTATATTAGTAAGATGTTAAAAACGGCGTGGCTGAAAGATTGTGGTATTTCTGAAATAGGAAATGGTAGTCTTTTGAAGTAATTCTGTAATTCTTTTACAATAAATTATTGGGAAAAGACCATCAATTTGTTTATTTTTCAGAAATCGCACGTTTTTATTCTTCTCCCACGAAAATCTTGAAATATCTTGCAAACATTTTATAAATTATCCGAGTTATGTTTTCTACCTAAGTGTGTATTTGGTTATTCTAATATTTTGAGCTATCTAAGGTTTCTTGTACCACATATTGGCTAAATGACCAAGTCAGACAGGTAGCCATCCCTAATTTAGAGGTGCTGACCAGAAGGAGGGAATTTATCAGTATTAAACGCCGCCTGTTTTGTACGTATTATTAATTGAATAATGGGATTAACCGTCAAGGTTAAAACGGCCTCACAGCTGAAAATGCAAAGTATGTTCAGCAGTATATATCGGCTCGAATCTTAAATCTTTCGATTCTAAGCCTAGCGCGCTAATTAGTAGACCACCCCTGGTACACCTGGAAATTTATTTTTATTTTTTAGGACATAGTTTAGACATATTCAGAACTACAAGTTCAAAAAAAGACTTTGTTGCTAAATTCTTAAAAGTTGGCGATAGTCACAAGGCTTAAAGATTCGGTATTCCACAACCTCTTCTCACTTAACCTACCTTTGATGTTTTCCCGTTCTAAATATTTACTTTGACTCATTTTAATATGTAATAGTGCTTTAAATTAATAGTGGTCTATACAATCATTAAAATTGCTTTAATTTTCTTTATTACATAATATAAATATGTATAGAAGAACTGTAAAAGTAATTCAACGTTTAGCCTGGTTGTGAGGAGAATGATTGAAAGTCTGTGTGTGAACACGTAATCTTTCAATGTATAAATGGTGTCTCGTTACCACTAGTTATGAATGTGAGAACACGCAAATATTTATCATAAATCTATGATAATGTTTTGATTAATTCGAATTTTAATCAGATATTAAAATCATCGCCGAATTGTCCAGATATTATTTTTTACTTTCATGTTTGTTCATTCGATTTTAATGAAAACCAAGCCTGGCTTATGACGGAATTATGATTGAGTAATCTAATGTAGCATTGTAAATATTCCAATATTGCTGTATTTTTACACTAAGCTGGTGTATTAAAATACTCACAAGTCTATATTCTAAACTAACTTGTTTCAGCTCTTCATGTTGATTTTTCGTTATAAGTAAACCAATATAACACAAAAATAATATCATTATAATAAGCTGTAGGTTTCACAACGTATCTGAACTTATATAAATAACTGGTTAAATTATTGACGAATATGACAAGATTGAAAGTATAAAATCATATGCCGCACGTCAACACCAACTATAATTAACCAGTGAAAGTTTTTTCTTCCAATAGTATGCTTAAATACTTTAGAAAACGACTATAATATTACTTATGTTTATCCAATCATAATTAATATTACAAATAGAGCTATATAGATATCACCAATGAAAACTGTCCTTACATGTTCCGAGGTGAACATAACTAACTGGGGTAGAGTTTTTAATCCTTGTTGCTTGTAGTTAGGGAACATCTTGTGCCGGGCAACTAGCATCGCATACAGATTGGAGATAGCGCCGCCTATACAATGTTAATTGAAACGTTATTTTGGTATAAATCATAAGTATTATCAATGGTATTCTTTGTTAGAATTGGTATTAATCAATTAAAATAATGAGAGGTGAGAACAGTTATTATTTTTCTTCAAATAGAGTAATATTAAAAAAATACATTTTTAGAGAGGAAGTATTATAAACATATGAAAAATATTATTAAATGATAAACACACACACACACACACACATATATATATATATATACAGATACTTTATTACTTACAATTCAAAGAACTCATAAATGAATGGAAAACAAATAAACATAGAAACACTGAGGTGACGTTAAAGAAACAGAATCTTTGTTTTAATCCTTAACTCATAGAGATTAGTTTCTGAAGAAAATGTTAGTGTTATATGTTAATATAAATAGCAAACAAAGCTAAGCTTCTCAATGTAATGAAACTTTATTCTATAGTTCTTACAATGATGCGTTTACCGTGGTGGCAAAAATTCTGATTCATAACTTTGGTCTGACATGAGAGTGTAAAAGCTTCCATATGCTAGATCTCTTCCTATAGGTGTATCAGATGAGTCTAGAGTTATAGTCATGGGGAAGGTCAGTCTAGGTCATTAAGTTAAAAATGTGGTCAAAAATACTCAAATTTGTTAGAATAGTGTGCTTATTTCCTCTAAAAAATCTCTTTCCGGTAGTAAAGTTTTCAAAATGAAACTAAAGTTATTTTTCAGAAAACAACGTACCACTTTAATTAAAGAAAGTTTGTTTGAAGTTAAGCACAAAGCTACACGATGGTATATCTGTGCTCTGCCCACCACGGGTATCGAAAACCGGTTTCTAGCGTTGTAAGCCCGCAAACATATCGCTGTGCCACTGGGGAGCATTGAAGAAAGAAATCGTGGTGCTTTGACATTATTTTCTCATCGTTTTATTTAGGTCATTGCTCTACATTTTTAAAATGTTTTAATTAAACTGAGAACTGATAAGTTTTAAACTATTTTTTCTGTGTTATTTCAGATGTCTGTCTACTAGAGTTTAGAATGACAAAGTTTGGGCGAAATGTAATTGTTGCATATTTTGCCAAAAATCAGACAAACTCTTAAATAATGAATTGATAGTGGTGTAGAGAAAGTGAGAGAATAATTTTATATAAAAAAATGTAATGCAATTAAGACACATTTAGAGACGTAGTGGAGTGTCTTGAATATTTGTATATCTTAGAAACCAAACAGCCTCAGTGGGACATTAAGTCTTGCTATGCCTTATTCTGCAGTATGACCCCCCCCCCCCAGTGGAACAGCGGTATGTCTGCGGACTTACAACGCTAGAAACTCGGTTTAGATACTCTTCGTGGGCAGAGCACAGATAGCCCTTTGTGTAGCTTTGTGCTTAACTTCACACAAACAAACAATATGCAGTATGA